GCTCTTCAGGTTGCTCCTTACATTGCTCCTCAGGTTACTGCTCTGGTTGCTGCTCTGGTTGCTGCTCAGGTTGCTCCTCTGGTTGCTCCTCAGGTTGCTGCTCTGGTTGCTCCTCAGGTTGCTCCTCAGGTTGATTCTCAGGTTGCTCCTCAGGTTGCTCCTCAGGTTGCTGCTGTGGTTGCTCCTCAGTTTGCTTCTCAGGTTGCTGCTCTGGTTGCTCCTCAGGTTGCTGCTCTGGTTGCTCCTCTGGTTGCTCCTCAGGTTGCTCCTCTGGTTGCTCCTCTGGTTGCTCCTCAGGTTGCTCCTCAGGTGGCTCCTCAGGTTGCTCCTCTGGTTGCTCCTCAGGTTGCTGCTCTGGTTGCTCCTCAGGTTGCTCCTCAGGTGGCTCCTCAGGTTGCTGCTCTGGTTGCTGCTCAGGTTGCTCCTCAGGTGGCTCCTCAGGTTGCTCCTCTGGTTGCTCCTCAGGTTGCTGCTCTGGTTGCTCCTCAGGTTGCTCCTCAGGTTGATTCTCAGGTTGCTCCTCAGGTTGCTCCTCAGGTTGCTGCTCTGGTTGCTCCTCAGGTTGCTGCTGTGGTTGCTCCTCAGGTTGATTCTCAGGTTGCTCCTCAGGTTGCTCCTCAGGTTGCTGCTCTGGTTGCTCCTCTGGTTGCTTCTCTGGTTGCTCCTCAGGTTGCTCCTCAGGTTGCTCCTCAGGTTGCTCCTCAGGTTGCTCCTCAGGTTGCTGCTCAGGTTGCTCCTCAGGTTGCTCCTCAGGTTGCTGCTCTGGTTGCTGCTCAGGTTGCTGCTTTGGTTGCTGCTCAGGTTGCTCCTCAGGTTGCTCCTCAGGTTGCTGCTCTGGTTGCTGCTCTGGTTGGTTTGTTTTTATTCTGTTCACTTACTGAATCCTCTGGAGTTCAATCTGACTCTGGAACATTCTTTACATCTGAGTTGCTGAACTTTAGCTGTGTTTCCCTTTGGTTATGTTTGTTCAGGTTCAGGTTCAGGTTCAGGTTCAGGTTCAGGTTTAGATTAACTGACTCAGACTCCTGACTTTTAGAAGAAGTCCAGTTAAACACCAGATTCAGTTTCAGGGCTTTAGGTCTCAGGACTGATGGTTCCTCAGAGGTTCTCCAGTGGAACCATCAGAACCTTCTGCTGGTCCCGGGTCCAGAGGACCGCTGGTCTGAGGCTTCGTTTTAAATCTGCAGTCAGGGAGTGAGAGAGGCAGGTGTGTGGTTACCATGGTGACGTTAACGAGCCTCTGGCAGCAGATTTAACATCTGATGTCATCTTAGTGGAATTTCTGCATCAAAACTTCAGATGTCAATAATTTCAAAATAAAAGTCCCAGTTTCCTGTGGATGCTGGAACTTTGGGCTGTTTTTTATTTATTTATTGTTTTATATTTTTTAATTTTTTTAATTTAGTTTATTACAAACATGAAAACCCAAACGT